AGGGGGTGACTGAGAACTTGGGTGGGAGCAGGGAGGCCGGGGGTTGCTGGACTGGTGCGTGGGGCCCAGAGCAGCAAGGACCTTTGGACTTTATCAGAAGACCAGTTTGGAACCATCGAAATGACGTGGTAAGATGTCTGCCTTTGGAAAGACAGGCTGTGAGCAGAAGGAATTAGATGGGAGAAAGGCCAGCAGAGCAGGGAAGCCAGAAACCAGTCTGAGGTTTCTCTTTCAAATATTTTGCCTTTGGAAATGCAGAAGCTCGTTCTCTTGCAGGTCAATGGGTGGGTCCTGGCTCCGCCTGCTGGTCTCGCCTCTGCGGATGGGTTTCTCCAAGTGTCCTGTAGAGCCTGTTGGGGGCTCCCATGCCACTCCTCCCGGAGGGCATCTTTAGAAGCAGTCAACTCGGTCAGCTCACCTGGGCCCTGCCATCCTGTGTCCTGCCCTTTCTGGCTCACAGGAGGTCACTACCAGACCTTGCCTTGCTCAGTTTTCCTTGGCTTCAGTGGTTGCCGTTACACCGAGGGAGAAGGGCTTACTGAAGGCAGATGTGGGAGATCACCAACCTCTTTGGGTATTTTTCTTTTCTGCCAAAAGGACTCTGATCCAACCTTCTTAGAATTAACATGTTGCAGGAAAATTGCCCAGACATCATCAGGCAAAGTGGAAGCAGAGAGAGAGAAACTAGGTGACTTTGTGTCCAATAGCTAAGGATTCCTCCTTGGGCTTTGGTTCCCACTGGATGGACAAGCTGGGATATCGGATTGGTTCAGTGTTCTGCACGATAGACCTCCCTCCATCTCCAGGGAGTGCTGCCCCCCTTCCCTCCAGCCCCACCGCCCCCCAGCCCTCAGCCCCTGAACTCTGCTGCTGGCCTCATGGGTTTTCGTGCGGTTTGAGCTTCTCTGGGGGAAGTGTGCTGCTGGCTCTGACCTCCTCCTGGTTTGGTGCCAGAGTCAGCCAGGATGACCTTCCTGAGACCCTGAGACTTGCTTTCTGTTCTGCTTTCTTGCATTTCCACGTGGCTCGGGTAGCAACTGGTCAGACGTGGCAGAGGTGAGAAGGTGAGGGAAGCAGGGGTTAAAACGTGGAGCCTGGGAGCCAGGGAGTGGTGCTTATCTGAGCCTTCCTGAGTGTCTCCCTTACTGGGGAGGGCAGCAGTGCTTGTGAGGGTGGGAGGCACGCTGTTCATGGGCAGCAGGAGGGGGACAGGCTGGGACTGGGCACCACTGTCCGGGAAGTTAGATGAGGCATCCAGCCAGCTGCCAGGGAGGAGGAGAAGCGTGGCGACAAAGGCAGACACGGGAAGGGTGTTGTCGGCAGACCTCCCTTTCTCTTGCTCAGACTCCTACGCCGGGTGGTTTTCAAGCACGTGAGGTTTTGACATGAGTCCCCTGTGGTCTTGTCACTTCTGCATTCATCCCCTGCCTCCCACCACGAGCTCAGTTACAGGGAAGAAATGGAGTTTCAAATAAGAGCTGTGGGACGGCTGACTGCGGGGCTGCTGCTGGCTTCTCTTCCCAGCGCCCCTACCTACATCCCAGGATTCGGGGTC